TGGCCGCCTGCGCGCCGCGCCAGGCCCCACCGCGCCAGGCCCCTCGCCCGGCCAGGCCTCACCGTGATCGGCCGCAGCAGCCGCGCGTGTCCCGGATTGAAGCGGCAGCGAATGACCCGGATGTTCCCGACTCGGCTCCCCCCCCCCCCTTTGTCTTTGGTCCGGAGTTTCCCTCCCTCCTTCCTCGGTGCGGCGCGCGGCAGTGCTGCGTGTCCCTCAGCCCGACCCGTCCGCACTGCTGCGCCGGCGCGGTATGACCCCGAGCGCCATCCGTCCGCCACGCTTTACGCATCCTCGCGACACAGGACCCAGAGGCGACCGGAACAATGCCTGAGCACGGAGCGCAGGAAGGAATCCCAGCGGGGCTCTCCCAAGCCCGACCGCGTCCTCGTGCCCCTCGGCTCCCACAAGCCCCCGTCGAGAAACCGAGTGAACGTTTACCTCGGGCGCCGAGAGAGTCACCTGCGCCCTGAAAAGGGTCTGCTCCCTCGAAGGGCGCTAGCACGGGTCTCGCAGGCCGCGCCTGCCCCGGGACGCGCTCGAGCCTGGCCGAGCCCCACCCCCTGTGCTCAGCCAGGCCTCTGATTGGAGGGCGGGGGCTCTGCCCCTGGCGGGGCTTTTGCAGGTGATGGGCAGGTGGGAGAGCCTGTCAGAGGGAGCGGGGGGCGGGGACGGCTCCGGCCGCCGGTGCCGCCGCAGTCACTTGGTTCCCCGCCGTTCTGAGGCGGCAGGAAGTCCGGGGCCGGTTGAGGAGCCGCAGCGGAACGCCGCTGTCAGCCGTGCCACAGGCGACCGTCCCTCTTGGCCGTCGGTCTGGGGCTGTCCCCACGTCCGTGGGGTGCTGGAAAGCACAGAGACTTGCTGACGCTTCCTCTGGTCAGTCTTTAGTTGTGTGTTTGGCCCAAATCTGCTTTTGTTTTACCTAATTTTTAAGAAGCTTTACGCTCTGTAGCTTTTGTTTTCCACTGAGGATTTTTCTTGCGGGGAGAGGGGCGTCTAAGAATGCATTTTTGGTGGCATATAGGGTATGAATCACATTCTGTTCTTGTCTTTGACTTATTTTTGTAATTTTAATGAAACGGGAAATTTCGGTCCTGAAACCTCTGCTTAGCCATGCCTTGCACTGGTCTGCATTTGTTAACGTTTCTTGAACTATGTTCTATGTGGTATTAAAGTTCAAAATGGTTTTTCTTCTTGGGAACTCTAGAATTAACTATTTCAATAAATAATCACTTAAATTTGAATCGGCCCCAATCAAAATACATGCTGAAGTTAGGAACTTTGTTGCCCAACATTCCACCTAGTGAGCAGGCACCTGCAAGAGTGATTCATCTTAGGCACATTAGAACACCCATTGGAGGAATTCTGTTTCTTCATAACCCCAGGCAGCTGGAATTCAGTTACAACTGGCACCTAAAGCTGGCAGAATAAATCTAGGCATTGCTGGACATTTTTTTGTTTATACTTTGTTCTATCTGGCTTTTAAAATTCCCACTTAAAATTTTGTTAATTTTTTTTGCCTATTGTATCACCTCAAACATGATGTACGCAATACGGAGCTTTAAACCGTCTTGAGAAAACAAAAGGCTGTTGCACAGGGTAAGGCAACAATCTACAATTCACGTCCGTAACAGAGGGGGCAAGATGTCATCAGTTTAAACTACAGTAAGAAAAATGGCGGTGAAGTATTAAAAAAATTCTTCTACTGGCAAAGATACTACAACACTAGGCTGCCTAATGGGGAGAGCATGGGTATGAAGTCTTCATTACTTAGGGCTTTAAAGGCAAGTTAGACAACACGCATTTTAATTGTAGCCGCTCCTGCCTTTAGCCAAGGGGATGAGCTGAGTGGCCTGTTATAGCTCTTTTCAGTTGTTTTTTTTTTTTTCCACTGAACAATTCATATTCTCATTTAAATTTATTTTGGTTTTGACTCCTACGGAAAAGATAAAAAAGGTGAGCATTCTTTCTGTTTGTATCTCTCTAGGCTGGTCTCAAGAAAATAATTGAGCTGTCAAAGGAATGGGTATTGCCTGACATAGCAAGATCTTTGTTTTAAATCTCAAAGTTGTGTCAAGCAGCTAATGTTTTTAAGAGACCTTATTGCCAGCAGAGATGGAAAAGGACAAAGTGCTTCCAAAGCTTCCACAGGCATACTTGTAACAGCTATACATCATCAAAGAAACCTCTCATTCCAGGATGGGTCTGAGTTTGTGCTTGGAATCACACATCTACCAGGTTGATGTCTCAGTTGAAATTGACTTTTCAGTCTTTGGATTCACCTCCACTAGTGAAGGCTGGCCTTAGGCTCGAATTCCTCCCATGCAGGTGGGCAGTTTCAACATCTTCCTATTGCAGTGAGAAATATAGTGACATATCACAGAAATGTTTTAAGAATGCAAAATAATGATTGCACCTTCATATAAGCAAACCAAATCCTTGGACCACTTGCCCTGTTCTCATCAAGTCCTCATTTAGCTTCTCTCCATAAATGAGTTACTTAACAGTAATTACATTCTATTAGAATGAACAGTTCCTGTTCACATTTGTGCTTTAGCCAATTACATATCATAAGGATGTAAAATAGGATACCTGCTTTCCTGTGGGCCCTTGCTCCTGCCCAGCTTTCTCTTTTCCCAATGCATGGATACCTATGGCAGCATCTGCCTTAATTTCTTTACTCCTTTTAACCAGTAAGTGCTGGAGAAGACGTGGAGGACAGTTAGCAGCTGGGTGTACAGAAAGACATCCTGACAGTCACAAATGACTTGGGGAAAGAGGGGAGTTTCAAAGATCTTAATGAAAACACCAGTTGCAGGCTGATTCACTAACCAGTTACTGGATGCCATCTCAGTAGCATGTTACTTGGTGAAAATTTATTTGGAATGTCTGGTGGTGTCTTTACACTAATTTGGAATAGAGACTTTCAGCAGGCTGTTGAAGCGCAACAATGGCTATGCCAAATCAGACTAAAGATCACTCTAGCTAAGAAATCTTTCGCCAGTAGCAAATGCCCACAGTGGAACGACGACATACATGTACTCCCCTGTTTACCTTTTCCAGTGATTCCAGTGACATTACCAAAAGCAGCGGGTTATAGGGGAAACAACACACTGCTCACAAGATTTATCTCATGAAATTGTGCAGATTGCAGTCTCAGAGAACGTCACATAAATATGGACTATGTGTTTATGACTGCTAGGCGAGACTTCAGCACACTGAAACGTGAATTTGCAGGGTCATTTGCATCTTTCTGAAGTGAAACTTCCCACTGAAAGGAAAGCTAGCTCCAAATAAACTCTAAATGCTACAAAAGATCCAAACAGGATGTTAATGACTTACTCATTTATGTTGCCTTTATTAACTGGTTTCTGGTTTAGTGTACACAGTTGTCCCTTTTATGCTCTCACTTTTGCTAACTGGTGAAGACACTTGAAGCTACAGATACATATAGTAGGAATTTCGATTGAAAGTAGTGCTGGTTGACTGTAAAGTGCAAATACTTTTAGTAAGACAGTCTGATAAAAATATAGATGCACATGATTAGTTAATTTCTACTACAGCTATGTTTGTACTTAGGACTTATTTTAGTAAAATTCAAATGCAATTAAAATGCAGAAAATCAGTTTAGTAAAATGACACCACTTTACTGAAGTTGCTGGATATATAAGGAAAGATTAGAATATGTTTTGTATTTAAAACTGTTAAGATGAAATTCACCTCATATGTAACTGTACAGCCTCTAAGATTTTAGAACTCACAGGTCTTAGCTTCTCACACTTAATTCTTACTACCAGTTTGGAAAATAAGCAGTCCAGTGGTCTTCTCAATACTAATACTGAATTATGAACTTTTCTATACTTGTAGAGGACACAGCTGTCAAACTGCCTGAATAATTTCAGCAACCTGTACTTGGTACTTAATCAGTTACTTCCTTCAGCCATTTCTATCTTTAAAACTTTTGCAGCAAACATGTACTAAGTGGCTTCTTATTTACATTTCTAATACTATATGTTGGCCTTATTATGAAGTGTCAATTTCAGTTACCTTAGTTTTTCAGACGAAAGAAGCATTTATATTAAAAAGCAAAGTACTAGATTCTAAAATAAATCCGTGATACTAAGCAGGGTGATTTGTGAGTCGTGTGAAAGAAAATGTATGCAAAGTGATTAGTTAAAACTTCCTACATGTGTTTTTGTGTGATTATATATCCATACCAGAAGGGACTATGTCTTACTATAATGATCAGCAACAGTCATAGCAAACACCAAGAAAAACACCTTCATTTCCCAGCAGATATATATCTGAATAAACATGACTTTTTTGTGACAAAGCCTTTGGGGCAGCAGAAAAGGATACGTCTCCTTTACAAAGGAAAAAGTATTACTGCTTTGAATCACTGCAGAAAAATGCAACTACATTTTATATCTGAAGTGCTAAAATAGGAGTATCAGTCATATTACACTGTTAATGTCAAGATCAACAGATTTCTTAGAAAAGAAAAATTTAAGACATCACAGTTTAAAAGGGAAAAAACAGGTTTATTTCATGCAGTTTACAATACACTAGTGTTATGAAAAGGAGGTTAAAAAAATACCCACACACGTTTTAATTGTATGTTTTTAAGAATGATGGTTAACTGTAACCATCTTCAAATGATTTGGGAAGCCCTAGCTGATTTTTATCTAGGGCAATTCCATGGATTCAGTTTCTTGTCTATGTCTGTGCTAAGAGTTTTGGCTAATGCAAACCCATTAAAACCAGATCAAAACTCAAACTTTGCTGCAGTAAGAACACTTCAGAGATAATGAACTGGCACAAAATAAAGTGTTCTTGCTAATCCACTATCCAGGAAATAACATGGTGCAAGTATGGCCGCTTGGATATTAACATAAACAGCTGATGCAGAACTGATCTTGAGACCAGTGATTTGGGGGGGGCGGGAAAAAAAGAGCATCTGTTGAATTGGGTAGGTGGGCCTAGAGAGTCCATAGGAAACAGATTTTTCATAGCTAGGCTCAGATGAGGCTCAGTACAGGAGCAGCTGGAAATAGTTGCCATTTGATACTCCTTCAGTTGGGTGATCTTTCAGTTCCAGGTGGACAGGTTGGCAACATTTCTCTTACAGTGCCTTGGCACTTGCTTCATCCTAGCAAGTATACATAAGCCAAGTTAAGTTTGAGTAAAGTTGTGCATAAGCTTTTGGAAAATCTTCAAAAGGAGCAAGCATCATGTACATAAATACATTAACTCTTACATTTCAGATGACCAGGCCTGAAAATCTCAACATGTGTTAAGTCAGGTCAAAATTTAGGCTCAGCTTTCTAAGGCAAGCAGAGGAGCACTGTCGCAGAACCTCCTCCCCTTCCACCCACCCCCAAAGTAGCAAAATAACTTTCAAAAAAGGTTCTCTCATTATAGTAGTTATTAACACACAACATCCTAAAGAGAACCCTTTGATGGGCCCAGAAAGCTATGTTTGCAGCAGTGTCCATTCACTGAACTTTTGAGAAGTTTATGCCTTGGTAAGCCTTGCTAAAGTAATGGACAGCTAAATTGCAATGAAATACTCAGCGACAATTTCCTGCAGCAGAATATTCCTCAAAGTCTCTCTATTGCCAGTGCTATTCATAAAAGTTGTTAGATTTCAACACAGGCAATAACAAAGTGGTGGGCAAGTGTACTGTCTTCTCTTGTGTATTCCTTACAAAACTGCATACTCAAATTCCAAGCCGCATACTGAAATTCCAAGCCATATATGAACACTTATATCTGTAATTGGTTCAGCCATTTGTAACAATTATTTTAGAGTCCATGAGTTGAAAGAAAAACAGACTAGCTGCTTTTTAAACATTGTATGTCTCCGGAACTTCAAATTAGCCCCGGAAAGGATTTTAGCCCTTAGTATTTCTGCACTGAAAATGGTAAGAGTTCCTTCTGTCTGACACTCATCTAGGCAAACTGAACAGTAAGATCTGTTTAGCCCTTGAAAGCCTCAGCTCAGTAAGAAGCCTTTAAAGACAGCTCCTAATTGTTGTGAGCCAAAAGAAACAAAAGTTATACGACACTGAGTTCAGACAGCCTTCCGCTTTTTTTTTTTTAAACGGAATATTTAGACTATTTTAAGAATCAGTAATTATACACACAAACTCAGGTAAAATCCTGAGATTGTCCTTAAAGCTGGCGATAACTGCAGTCTAAACTATAATGAAGTAACAGGCAGCATCCTCAGACCGTATGCATTTTGAAATTGTTGTGTTAGAAAAGACACTTCTCCAATGACCGCTAGAAGTTTTAATCCTACTGTCCTGAGCTAACAGGTACTGTTAAAGGCATAACAAAATTTCACCTCTTTTCAAGGGCCCCACCTTTCAGGGCTGATGGAAGAAGTTAATTTGAAAAACCTGAAAGATTCTTTTGATGTGGTCAGATAGAATAAAATAGGAGAATGACACTTTTTGATTTTATCACACCTCAAGTGAACAAAACCCCAGGCTGCTTCTCCAGACTCTCTTTCACTTGACTTTGATCTCCATGAAAACCCCAGTACTTCACTTTTCTCTCAGTACTTCTCAAGGAATGTATTCCAGTATACCTGAATGATTGGACAACACACATTATAATTCAGTTTCTAGGTAATTTCATTCAATCAGATACTACTGCATTTTTGCATTCCAAGTTCATTTTTGTAATACTAATAAAAATAGTAATTTGTAATTAATGTGTGTTAATTTGCTGGTGGTAGTTCTCTACTGCTTAAAAAGAGACTGACAACTCTCAACAACCTCAACAGACATTCACAGAATACAGTGTTCTGTTCTGAGCAGCAGTTTTCTGAAACACCATCATCCTACTCAACAGACCTGTTCCCTAAGCATACCTGCAATCAAGTTTTCTTTTGTTTAATCTGCTAGAACTTTTCCTTTTTCTCCTGAGAAAAAAACACCAACCCTCTCTCAGAGAAAGAGGAGATGGATTCAATTTTGGTATCTTCAGGAAACAGTCCTGGTTCTAACCAATCATAACTGTGCATTCACATTGCTAGAAATTTAATATAAAAATGTCATCTCCAATACAGAAATTAGCCTCTGACAAAACTTAAGGACAACAGTACGCTATATGTTTCCTAACTCAAAGCAAGAAGTTGCTATGGTAAATTTGAACTTCTTAGTTTTTAAACAAGTTTTGCAAGAAGTCTGTCATGTAAAAGCCTTTAAAGAATTTCACTGAAAATCCACTAATCATCTGCTGAATGAACCTCCTGTTCCATGGACAATAAGCCAAACAACTTCACTAAATATTCATATAGCAAAAGGGTAGAAAGTGAAATCTTCCATAGAATTTACATT